GGGGGGGGGTAAAGACCGCGACGGGAGAGGAGTAGAGGGCGGGTAAAGATAGAGACGGGAGAGGAGTAGAGGGCGGGTAAAGACAGAGACGGGAGAGGAGCAGAGGGAGGGTAAAGATAGAGACAGGAGAGGAGTAGAGGGCGGGTAAAGACAGAGACGGGAGAGGAGCAGAGGGAGGCTAAAGACAGAGACAGGAGAGGAGCAGAGGGCGGGTAAAGGCAGAGACAGGAGAGGAGTAGAGGGCGGGTAAAGGCAAGAACAGAATAGCAGAGTGCAAGTAAGGTAAACAGTTCAGGCAGCTCACCTTCCAGCTGCGAGGACTGATGGAGATGACACACTGCTGCCGCCCTGGCCCACTGCCCGCATCCTCCTCAGCCTTTACTGGAGCTGCAAGAACAGAACCACTTTGATCACTTTGCACAAAGGGTCACTGACTCGTCACAGATGTACATGAATGAACATACACTATACCCTATCTAACACAACAAAGAAAACTCACCAATCACAGAAAATCCAAACAATGCAGCACAACTCCCAAATGATTTACCTTACAATCAACATCTCACAAATTAGATACATTCATTCATGTTTGCTGTGTGCCAGTCTGTAAAAATGAATTCTGTACTTAGCTGTACGAGTCTACTGGTGCAAAACTAGCAACAAGCTATTCACCATCTAAAATATAATACTGGTTAAGGCCCTGGATTGCAAGTTGAACTGACAGACACTGCTTCAGGGACTTTAGTAAAATACAGCACACAGTGTAAAAAAAGAAACCCAAAGAATAAAAACAAGGCTATTTGCCAATTATTTGATTAATTTAGCTAACAGTTTTATCTTTTTTTGAATGACAATTTTGTGAACTTGCTTCAGCTACTTTGAGTTAATTAGTCTAGTTACAGCTCCAAGTCCATTCATCTAACCAGAGACTCAAGAACTGTGACGCGGTAGTGTGGTCCACCTCAACATTGGCTCACCGACCATCTGACTCCTGGATATTTTGTGTTCAAAGGTTCTCACCAATAATGGGGAGCCTGGACTGGTCCAGCTCGATCTTGGCCAGGCCATCCTGAAGGGGAGAAGAACATTTCCTTCAGCAGTGGAGCTCCCAGCTTCATTTACACACTAGAGAAACCAGTTTACATCTTCTGACAATAAGAGGGACAGCACTTACCCTGACCAGAAAAGACACATGGAAGATGTTTTCCACAGTGCGAGAAAAGGATTTGGGATCAATCACAAAGTCAAAGTAAGAAATAGGAACTGTGGCTGAAAAATTAAATAAAACATGGACCATTTTAAGATGGAATAAAAAAAAACTTACTTTGCACAAAAGAAAGTCATAATTACATATAAAACAGTAGCCAGACATTTTTTAATACTTATGATAAATACTGAACCCTATGAAATTTATTTTATGCATTTAAATTAAGATAAAAAGGTGATTAAAAATAAGTACTCAAAAAATATTTCTTTCCAACTTTGCAGACTCTAATCCTTGACATTAAAATAAAAGGGAGCTAGATCAGTAGACAAAAAAGAAACTAATAAGTTTATAATTCTAAGTGTATTTAACTGATGTTTCAAAGTAACTTATATTTGGTCATCATGTCATCCTACTGAAGCAAGCTGAGTTTTTGAACTTGCAACCTTCCATTTACAAGTACAGATCTCTAACCACTGCTCCACAGTGCTGCCTTAACAACCCGACCTGTGAAATATACTGACAATCCTACAGCAGATATAAGAATTTGTACTACAAAATATTCACTATGTCCTTTTCACGTTTTACAGAAGACGTTCCGTTTTCAAATGGATCTAAGCGCTGTTGTCCTAGATCCCTCACGTTCCCATTAAGAGCAAACATCTGTAAGTTCAGGTGCTTACGATCGTCGTCATGGTAGCTCTGTAGAAAACCAAGGATTCTCTCCACCTCTTTTTCTGTAGCTTCCTGGTAGGATTCTTCCATTTTCTTCAGCTAAAATAAAAGGAAAAAATCCAGAACTCAATGGCTGAGCATTCGACAAAAAAAGGAATTTTCAGAGTAAATCTATAATTCTAGAAAATGAAGGTATGCTTCATAATTTAAACTTAAAAACACATATTTTGTACTTTACTTCACCCCCCCACCTTTTCAGGGCAGTAACATAGCATTGAAATTATTTATATTAATTGAACCATCACAGAGTTGGAGATGATTCATTAATGCCCAACTCTTTGAAACCTGATGTAACTCACTGTAGTGCAGTATATGTAATGACAATGTGGGTAAAATGGCACTTTTTCCCATTGAAAGCATATTTGTCAGACACCACACAAGCACCCTTCAGATAAAAAAAATGCTCTTTGGGATGAGTCACTAATTTATAAAAGCTCATCTACAGTAGCTTTGAAAAACAAAATGTTTTAACTCCATCCCACTGTTAAATGTAATGCAAAATTATTTTGGGATTAGAAGGATATAACAATAAGTCGGGAAAGAAAGGATTCTAAGTAAATCTGTGATATCATTTATTGTCTAATTACAGTTTTTATCTGTCATTTGTCAGTTTTTTTAAGAAGGATACTATGCTGTGTGCTGGAATTGTTTTATATTGATATAATTCAGTAGTGGAACCGTGGCAGCTCAGACAGCAAGGGCGTCTAGATCTTGACTGGAAGGTCCCGGGTTCAATCCCAGGTAGGGGCATCTAATTCCTTCCAGATGCACCCAGCCTGCTTCCCAAATGAGTACTGGGGGTTAATCTTTCTGGGGTAATAGGCCGGCCGGAGCGTGATGCCGACCACATCACCTCCATCTCCAGTGCCAGATGGTTGAGGAAAAAGGGCCTTTATGGCCTGAGGAGGGGACCTAACCTACCTACCTATAATTCAGTAGAGTAATTGCAAAGGTTGAGAAACGCCAGATTTCTTCACTGTTTCAATCTAAATTTCAAACCTGTTTAGTTCTTCCTCATCTACACATTTTAGCCACTGGTTTCTGCTTATGTGTGAAACTGTAAAAAAGAATTTCCGTATTTATTTTTTTTAGGATTAATGACCATGAATAAAAACTATGGGGTGATTACCCAGAAAGCACAAGTGTTACACGGTCATTTCCTCCATCAGCAACCTTCTCCTTTTATCTTTCACGTTCCTTTCAGTTTTCTTGTTTCGTCCCCCCTCTGACAAAATTGTTTAAAGAAGCACACTTAAAAAGCATGAAAACAAGGCAGTTGTTTTCCTGGCAGACCTGTGTGGGCATAATCCTGCGCACATCCTTGGTGGGAGCTCTTCTCTGTCTTTCTACTCGCTGTCGAGGGGGAGGGGGCTCTGGAAGGAAGGAGCCAAACCTGCCAAAGACACAAAGACACGACTCACCTCGCAACCCTCAACACCCAAACAAGCAGCCCTCATCTTTTTACACTGCTGACTGCTGGCCACGGATTTCAGCCTCATATCACAGTATGTAACAAAGCACTTTGTGCTCGACGCCGTTAGAATTCTTCACTTCACAACAAAAATTTAAAGAGGTGGTAATGCCTTTAACCCAAACATTACTCCTTCTGTCTTCAGGGCTGTTTCTACACTCAGTACAGATGAGCATGTTTGAACGATCAAAACGACACAAGGGTGTGTTTTTTAAAACAGTGATCTGCACTTTGTTCTGAGGACATCTTCTGTGACTCTCGGTGCACATATTAGCCCTAGGCCAATAAAAAAAACACTGCAGCTCAGTGTCCAAAGGTCCAGTCGCACAGCAGCACACTACTAAAATGAATGGCAGTTAAGAAACAAGGAGTCCCTTACATGAAATGGAAAGAAGGAGATGTTCTGAAGCACTTCTCTGCTTCCCTGCCCAGCTGGTGCCAGGCGTCTTGGGGAAGGAAGCCTCCAGCAACCCCCTCCTCATCACTGTCATCCTCCTCCTCCTCCAGCCGGTTCAGGCCCATGAACGACAACTGGAAAGACACATAACACACCTCAACTTGGCAGATTACTCCCTGCACCATACAACCCGGTTTTGAGGACCAGGTCAATACAGCAACTTGGAGTGAGTTGAGTTGTATACTAAAATCTATTCCAATTTAGCTTACAGAAGATTTTCTGCCTTTAATCCTACAATAACTTCATAAGACACTAATAAAAGTTGCTTTTGGGCATCTGAAGCTAAAGGCTACGCAATAACAGCATTTTCATACTCTCTATGTTTTGACAAGTACAAAGCCAATCTGAGATCAGCTGTGCTAAGCAGTAAAACCCAAGGAAGTCTTTGTGCTCACCAGGTGCTCTGCGAAGGCAGAAGGGTCGAAGATGGTGCCCTCGGCGTGCAGCTGGCTGGCCTTCTCCTTGCCCAGGTCAGTGGCCAACACCAGAAACTGTGAGTCCAGGGCAGCCTCGCGTGCCTGGCGGACTGCGGACACAAAGTGACAGGACAGGTCTGGATGGCACGGGACACTGGGTGTGTATGGCAAAGAACCGGGAGATTAGACAGATGTTGAGCAGTAATGACCACAGCAGCAGCCTTCACACCCCTGCAGCCAGTTTCAGTACAACAGGAGTATCATATTCTTACACTAAAAACATGTAAAGTACATGTCTGCTCCTAAAGAAATAAAAATTAATTCTTATTATCAATGTAATTAAGCAAAAGCAACCTTTTAATTCTAAATTAGCTTATATGAGACTCTGAAACTAAGTATTTAAGGTACCAAATCCACCTCTCTGCATGTCCTAATGATTAGACATATAAAGGTGCCTGTAAGTCGGGAACCTTACCATTTACAAAAAGCTTATTGGCCTCCTCTAAAGCTTCAGTGAGCTTGTTGTTGTTGGGACTCAGCATATCTTCTCGGTTCTCTGGAAGAAACAGCAACAATTTACAAACTCCATTAATAAGAAACAAATATAAAAAGTTACCCCTCAATAATAATAATAACATTAACCTTTTACAATTTCTTGCATTAGGAATTACCTTTTCGCATACCCCAGCTTGCTCTCCATGAGACACACAGACAGGGAGAGAGCCTGGGGTCAGAGTGCAGGGTCTGCCATTGTACAGCACCCCTGGAGCAGTTAGGGTTAAGGGCCTTGCTCAGGAGCCCAACGGAGTAGGATTCCTCTGCCGGCTGCGCGATTTGAACCAGCAACCTTCCAGCCACAGGCGCAGATCCTGAGCCACAGAGCCACCGCTCCGCCCCAAAATGTTCCCCTCAGAATTATATATACACCCATCTATTTTTGTCTGCTTTATCCAATACAGGGCTGCAGCAGGGAAGCCGGAGGACAAGCAAGCAAAGGGCACAAGGCAGGATACACCCTGGGCAGAACACCAGTTCACCACAGGGCACATAGTCACAAACATGAACACACTCACGCCAGGGGCAATTTTTCACAGAAGCAAAGTAACCTACCAGTGTATCTTTGGAATATGGGAGGAAACTGGAGAAGCTGGAGGAAACGCACACAAACACGGGGAAAAGCAACAAACTCCACAAAGATAGCACCCCAAGAACAGAACCCAGGGCTCTAAAGCTACAAGGCAGCAATGCTGATCACTGTGATGCCCTATATACATATATAACTTAAAAATACTTGAACTTTAAACATCTAATGTTCACAATATTACCACTACTAACAAATAAGCACATGCACCAATAGCATGTAAAGACTATAGTACATGTGTTATTTAAGAGCTTTTAATTCTGAAAATAAAAAAAAATGAATCTGACTAACTAGTAATAGACTCAGAAGGATTACACATATACTACTGTCATACAGGCAAGAGAAAAAACACCTCCCAGCCCTTTTCAGGTGTCCCAAAATTAAAAGGTAAACTTGCAAATTAACAAACTTTTCCCAATGCCCTACAGTACACGCCTATGGCAATCTGTATGTCAGACACATCAAGCCCCGTGTTCAAATATTGACGTGGTTGTGTGTGCTCCACTCTGGGTTTGATGGCTAGGAGAAGCTGTGTCCTGAATGCATCGGACTTTGTCATATTAAAACACCTGTAATAACGCAGGAAGGTCACAAAGACAGCTCCTGCTCATTCTTGACTTTCCCGCCCCACAGCACTCACGCTGCACGTTGTTGATGAGCTCCCTGTACTGGTGCCTGATGAGGCGGCGAGTGGCCGGGTCATCCTCCTCGTGAATGTTGGAGCCCCCTGGCCGAGAGCCCTCCTCCTCATTGCTGTCCTCCCCAGCCCGCCTCTGAACCCCAACGCCATTTTGCGGTGGCGCAGGGGCCTCCTGTGACCTGTGGCTCGCTCTTCTTGCTTCAGACATCTCTGCCGGCTCCTGTGGGGCACCTCAATAGCCACAACCCGCCTCAAGGCTACAGAGATGAGCCTGGTCGCGCAAAAAAAAAAAAAAGGAAGTCATCTTTTAGTTTGTGCAAGACGGAGAATACAGAGAATAAAGCACGGAGCAGTCTGGACTATGGAAAAACAAAACCACTTTGCCTTATCCACTGTCTCCTCCTGTTCGTTTGATTCTGTGAGATCTGTTTTGGACAGGCTCAATGGGCTGTGTTCACACTATCCCTCGCAATTATTGTCCTGCCATGGTGGTGTGTAGACAGATTATATTGCATGCATTTCAAATTCTCTATGAGTGCAACATAAATCATCCAGGTCCTACTACTATGGATGAAATGAAAGACTTCCATTCAGATTTTAAGCCCTCTTGCTCTTTCTATTACAAGCTATCCTCTTACACAGGATATTTCTCTCATTGTAAGTCATATCTTATTATGAATATACTTACATAGACATTTAGAGTTAAACTATACGGAGTTACTTAAAAATAATCAGTTTTTCCCCTCGAAAGTTTGTTGTGCACGAAAGCCTAAAACTAGCCCAACTATATATATAAAACAATCAAACAACTTTGGAAGTCTGCCTTCTATCCTTACTTATGATTAAAACCGTGACTCTTCACGGTTTAGTTTTAACTCAATTTGAAATACTATTTTATTTATCCTGCGATTCATCTCCAAAACGTGCACAACACAAACCGGCGTGGGGTTTTTGCTTCAATACATGAAGGGACGTGTTATAAGGCTAGAGGACATTCAGCGCCTGCATATATCTAGTAAATACCTATTATTTACACTTGGATAAATGTTGTTGGAACAGGAACGACATCATTAACCAATGTAATATATTTTACACAAATCCCAATTTTTTAGTGATTAGTCAAAACATTTTAACGATCTGATCACAATCGAAATATGAAATCAAAACAGATCTAGATTGTCGCTTGCTCTCTTAGGTAAATTACAACCTTGTATCACCTTTCAAAATGTGGTAAAAAAACGCCATAGTGAGAATATCAACTTTTTTTACATAAATACTACATTACAATATAATGTTACGTGTTGAAGATCTGTCATACATGACTACAGGTAACCAACACAATGCGCAACCACAGGGCGTGACACACTGCTTCTTTCACACAACACAGTACATCTCTATGATTTTACAGTCATCTTCACCTATCCGGATTCTCAATGAGATTAAACTTACTTTTTTAAACTTTCGGTTTGTTTATTCTCGTGCACCAGCCGCCAATGTTTTCAAGTAGACGTCTATGTGCTGAACCGGAAGTAAAACGCGATCGTGTTATCGTCCGGAACAACCCCTGTTCTTCTCCGTAAAGGGTTCCTGCTTGTGCATGACATGGTTTCACAGACTAGCATGTATCGTTTTGTTTTTATCTTTTCAAATGTTTATTGTTGTGATTCCACGTAATAACACTGCTATTTTACGACAACAGTTGGTCTTTATCTCAGAAACAGTAATACATATTTTAGATGACTTCCCCAAAATCGTTTCACAAAATGTAAATAAAAACGCCGTTTTCTAAAAAACATGCAAAACAGAATGCGTTATTAACCGTAAAATCATTCCACATTCAAATACTGTTTTATCTATATATTTCAATTGCCGTTACATTCATTTTCTAGCATGCAAATAACTCAAACTCCTTTTCACGTTAACAAAGTAAGTGAAATTCGTCTTTAATCTCTTCCAAGCAGGAAAAATGAACACGTTCAGTGAGGTTCCTAAATTAAAACCTTAAGAAATATTACAAGAGCAAGAGGGCATCCATCCATCACACCCGTTGGGTATTTAGTAGGTAATTTTCCCAGATCTCAAGTGGACGTTTTTTGTCTTGGTCACTTGTTCGTCTCCCACGGCCATACCTTTTAGAATTGCCCCGTGTTATCAGTTATAAATACACTTCATCATAATTTATACTTCTGTCCACAAAGGACTCTGGAAAACTACTAGTAATTTATCTATAGAAAATACATAATTTAAACCAATATTACAATTCCCTGTTTTATGTTCAGTTTTCGTTACGCATTTAATTATATTAAAGTTCAACAAGGGAGGCTTCTTGCAGATACTGTAGTTGATTGCCCCCATGTGACTGCTTCTTGACACAAGTTTACTTGGGAAACTACAAGACTGTGTCGCAAGAGCGTGGCTCAGCAATGGGCTACGGGCGCGTCGGGGAAGCTCGCCGGCGGGGCTGGGCTGCAGCGGGACGGTCAGTCTGGGCGGCGGGCGGCTGCGAGGATGTGCTCAATCATAGAGAGCAGAGGAGTGAGGGATGGTTACAGCTGTGGCTACTGCGGCTCCAGTGAGGGCAAGGTCTCTTTTAGTAAGTACAGACGAACTATGATGCGCAGTACGTGTGGTTGCAGCCGAGTACAGTGGAAAACAATACACCAAACACAGTTGTTTGATAACTCGTGGCTAATTAACAGTCCCGTTACAATACATCTAATTTATGTTTAGTTATTTCTTTGAACCCGATCACTCATTTCTTATGGGGCTGCTTTTGATAAAGGTGTGTGTTCTATTAAAAAAGGGACCTGAGTGTTACAGTAAACCTGTGGTATATTCACCGAATTGTGCGATACAAATACCAGTAGGTGTACTGTACCATAAAAAGACTGAACGTTTTTTATATTGTCTAATTATGCTAAATTCCAGTCATGCAAAAATAAACATGGCGAGACAATAACTTCCACTACCTGTATATTCTGCAAGTCAAAGAATCAGCTGATCAAACGCCGGTCCCTCTCCGAAGTCCGAAGAGGCTATAGCTTCCGCTGGAGCGTTGTCTCCACCTGGCGACAGACAGGCGGAATTACAAGTCTTAATCCGCTGCCGCATCTCACCATCTCAGGAATAAAATGCAGGGGAAATTCGGTCTCCCTGAATATTCAAAAACGTCCCATAAAGCTCATGGGAAATGTGAATATTATTAGAGTTATTATAATCAAATGCTGAACTTGGCCTACCCCAGTATCCGTGCACTTTATTTTCCAGTTGAGCCAGCAGTAATCTTAGTGAGAACTTAGTGGTTCTCTTTTTGTTTTCAACTCTCCAGCCTTGGGAGGATTTATATGAGTAAATGTGAGTTATATTAGAATGAAGACCCGAAGATGCAGAAAGGCAGTGCTCCAGGGATGGACAGCTTTAGATGGGGGTCTAAACTAGATCGTTCAGCTCATTCATGTACTAGCCTTTGGTACAATCAGTACTGTAATTATGCTACTGAAATTTACTATTAATTCAAACACAAGAGCTGGTCCTGTCAGATATTTAAAAAGATAAGATGGATTAGATGTGCTGGGTCACACTCCTGTGTACGGTTCCTGTAGAACTTCATATTCTGATGTTTGAATAATAAAAAAGACCTTGTTGATAGTCGTAATTGCTGCATTTTGGTCTTTGCTGAAAATTGCTACGAAAGGGTTGGTTTAATGTATGTAGTTTCTGTCAATGCAGAGACTTTCAATATTTGTGGATAAATTCAGGAGCATCTGGCTGTGTGTCTGGATTACTGGCTCCTTCTTGCATTGTCACGCAATTTTAGATCAGACTGAAAGAAATTATATTTTTTTAAGTGACACTGAAATTGTCTATGCAAATGCACTGAAAAAGTTGAATTCCCAAAGTCACACAGATGTTTTAGGTTTTATAGGTAGCTGTGCAGCCTTTAAATAGTTAAATCAAGGAATTTTGTGCTAAACCGTCCAATGCACTATTAAGATCTCAGTTAGAAAACTGTACCAACACCACAGTACAAGTCAAATATTGCTGCTCTGGAATCGGTTCAGAAAAGAGCAATCAGATGTATTCCTGCTTTCAAAGGAGTGTCATACACGGACTAAAATTATTTCACCTTTTTGTTCTTGAACAGTGAAAGCTGTGAGGTGACCTGATTCAGGCATTCACAATTTCTCCAAGGAAATCTAATCCAATTGACTCCTTAAGATCAATGGCAGAACACGGAACACAGGACACAAGAGGATGCTATGTTCAAGTTCAAGTTACAAGTTCAAGTTTATTGTCATTATACTCATATACAGGTATATGGTATAACGAAATGCTATTTAGCTAGCTCTCGGACATAAGTAGTACAAAGAAAAAAAAACTACAACAACAATTCAATTGTATAACAAAAGAAAGACAGAGACAACAGGCAATGTGCAAAACAACAAAAAGGTAACAGGTTATGTGCAAAAACATTCATTAACAGAATGAAAGGATAGAAATTATGGGGAGTGACCTTTTGACATGTATGATAGAGGTATATTTTAAATGTGTGTTTGGGATTTTGGTAAGAAAGAAAAGGCACTGTGAGGTTCAGATCATAGGTGAGAGGTGAGGTGAGAGTGAGAGAGGCTGGGAGTTTAATAGTTTGATAGTGCGGGGGTAAAAACTGTCTCTGAGTCTGGTAGTCCGGGCCCGAATGCTCCGGTACCGTTTTCCAGATGGTAGAGGGTCTGTAGCTGGGGTGTGTGGGGTCTTTAATGATGCTTAGAGCTTTCCTCAAGCACCGTCTGTCATAAATGTCCTGGATAGATGGGAGGGTAACCCCAGTGATGAACTGGGCAGTTTTCACCACCCGCTGTAGGGCTTTGCGGTCAGCAGCACTGCAGTTGCCATACCACACACAGTGGGCTTTCTGTTGTGCATCTGTAAAAGTTAGTGAGGATCTGGGGACATATCTTAGCCTTCTTCAACCGTCTTAGGAAGTACAGGCGCTGTTGCGCTTTCTTGATCAGACAGGTGGTGTTGAGAGACCATGTGAGGTCCTCGGTGATATGGATGACAAGGAATTTAAAGTGGAATTCCTTTTTCTACTTTAAATTCCAATTAAAATCCAAGGAATTTAATTGTGGAAGTCCACTTGAAACTGAGAACACCGAGGGCATTTCTGTAACACAGAGGGTCATGGGAATATGGAGCGAGCTGTCCAGCCATGCCGTTGAAGCTGATACTTGGTTCAGTTCACTACTGAAAACAAAACGGAAACATGGGCTGTAGGAGCTTCTCTAGTTTAAAACCAGTCTTGTCGTTTTAAGATTTTCCCAGGTCGCAGCAGTCTTTACGCGGAGGGAACGGAAGATGGCGCTACAGGAAATATTAATGAGTCCAATAGGATAATTATTCGGTTTGGTGTCTGTGGTATTTGTAGGTAAGCGAGCATTACGCATAAGGAAGTTCGCCGGGTTGTCAGAATCGGCTAACAATCGGCTAAAATGGCAGCGGGCAGTTCTTACACCATAGTCGAGTATTTCGGAGGGGACGATGGCTACCGGTGCGGCTACTGCAAGAACGAGAATGGGAACTTCTCCCATGGTAAGGCAGCTTTGCCGTCCCTCTTAACTTTCTCTTCTGTTTAGTTCTGTAGCTTCTCTACCAGAGCAGAAAGAGATGTGCACACAGGAGTAATTTATTTATGCAATTTATTATGGTCCTGATGATAGCTGCGCCCGACCCGCTCCGTTGTGATTTAAGTAAAAGATTACATGCAGGACTTTAGTGCATTGCCATTATGCTTACTGTGCATTTTAGGATATTTTTTGGTTAAGTGTTTTCATTATAGAGTACAGGACGTGCAAGTTGCAGCTCATAACCATTTTCTCGCCCCTAAGGAGTTGTTTAGTGCCGGTTAGTTGAGATGCTGTGCTAGAGCAAACGGATGTGTTGATGGTTCTAGTATTTTAAGATATGTTGTCTTTATGTGTTTAGGTTTATATAAACATCGCCGTAATGGCTGGTCATTGTAGCCGGGTTGCTGTTATCCGCAGTACAACAGACAAGGTTCATTACCACACCAGAGAGAGAAAGTAAAAGTTGTTCTTGAAAAGTTATTTTGAATCTCAGCTTGAGCCGTGGAATCCCGCTCTCATGAAGAAGTTCACTCTGTTGTTGTCAGTATTACGATTGGGGTTCCAGTCCTTTATCAAGATAGTGATTAGATCTATGCCCTATGAACTGTATAAATGCGTTGTTACCTTGTTTTAATCTCTGAAAGATTTCCACTTTAAATTCTGGAGTAGCTTTTAAATGATCCCTTGATTTATCCCTTTGATTTCCTCTTGCAGTAAAAAAAAACACACGTGCTGTCATGTCATGTATTGGTACTAATTGTGTTTTGTGAATCTACTGTACATGCAGAGTCTACACTGCATGACGTCTGTTTTCTTCCTTTTGGGTTTGTCTTGCTGCGGAACAGAACACTCAGATTTGCTCCACTAGATGAATTGTTTCCCTTTTTCCCTTAACTGTACTGCTCATGTAGCAGTGAACTGTGTGACCAGTTCTGGATAAGGACTGAATATTTCTGCTGCAGTGCTGACGGCTAGAGAGGCATGTGTTTTCTCCCCGGGTGCTTTATCACCCAGTATACTGTTTCAGAACTGCGCAGTGGTGTATGAATGTGTAGTGGCCTGGGAGCCAATGGCTAGGGCACAGCAATAGTGCCTACTTGGCACAGTGATATAATTAGACTCTGTCCTGTTAGCAGTTTATTTAAAGCAAAAATATCTACTTTTGGTTTTCTTTAACTTAGTGTCTTGCATCAGAATCACCTGGAGTAATGGCAAAAAGAAAGAGTAAACGGAGTATTTTATTTCTGCATTTTATTTCTTTGTTTCATTGATGACAGTTGTGAGATGTGCCTTCAATCAAGTAGTTGACTTTGACGTTTTTGCTATACCATCTTAGGATTTATCATCATTAATTTATGATGAGATATTGTTTATTGGCGGTGTGGAAAATGCATGAGTTGAAAGTAAAGAAAACAGGGGAAATATCACACCACACGCTTTAGGAATTTAAGTTACCAGTTAATTAGTTGCTCTCTCTTTTCGGGGCTGTTTGCTGAAAAGCAGAGGACGCAGTATAGGTTAGCTAAGTGGTTTACAATATGGAAAGAGTCCATGAATAGAAGACCAGCTGCTCTGCAGGGTTCTTTGAAAAGGAGCCTGACAGATCTCTCATCTCAGCTAATGACTGGCTAACTGCCTTGCACTGTTGTTCTTCGGCTGTGCATGGTCTGTATTGAGCAGGTGTGCCAAAGGGTCTGGCTTTCTTCAGAGGGGATTACAGAACCTGCAGTCAGACAGGTGTGTGCCACGGTGCTTGCAGTTCTGTATATTGCTGATGAAGTGATATCTGCAGCTCCCTTCCTTTTAGAGCACGGGCAGAGGATAAATGAAAAATGTAGGCTGACTGACAAAAGACAGATCCCTGTAGGCCATGTTAGTAAAACATTTACTGAAAACAAGTTAAAGTTTTGGCATCGTAAAAAAGAGATGTGTGTGAAGGATAAGTTTGGGGTCACAGGAAGCTCTTTAGGAATTTTAATATTAGTTGGTCCAATATTAAACAGTTCAGACCACTTTGAACTTTGCGTGATGTGGGGAGGCAGGTGGGTAGAATAAATATATGGCACTGCATTTATCATGCCTATAGTATGTGAGTCTAGAGCTCAGTACCTGACATTTAAAAGGAAACTTGTCTGGGTGGTAGGTGTGGATTGAAGGAAGTGATTGTAGTCTGATGGCTTCAATAGTGACACATAATACATTATGACTTAACAGTAAAAAGCTGCATAATAAAAAAAGCACAATCAGGTCTCATTATTTATGTGCTATATTTAAATGTTGTCAACAGTTTTAAGATTATATGTTGTTTTTCATAAGAATTTCAATTATGCTATACTTGAAACCATTAATAAACCACATCTGCAAAGAATAGCCTTTTACGATTTAGAGGACAAGCCTGTTTTTTTTAGGCCTGTACAGTGTACTGTCTTAATTGGCTAGAAATAGTGATTTGGTTTTCCGTCTTATTAGGGACAATCTGTGTAGATGCAGTTCCTAATCTTAAGTGATTTCTGCCTGGTAAATCCCTGTGTGTCCGGCATTACTTAATTATTTAATTATGAAGCCTAGTGTGAGGAACAGGCGAACTGAAGTCCAAACATGCACCCAGTAGTGCATTAAGGCAATGAAATGTGGATCAAGACCAACCCTGCTCTCCCTTGCTGGCTCAATTCTCAGCAGTTTCTCCTCTCTGTACTGTCTTTTCTTCCATTCTGGACCAGTGTCCCTCCATTCTTCTTCTCGTCTTCTCCTTTCATCCCTTCATACCTTTTTCTGACCGTCTCAATTCTAGTCTATAATCCTAATGGTCTACCCTCTGCGTACAATCCATTTGACAGTTCTCTACCCTTTCCTCTCTTCTCTTCATGGGGGGGACTTTTCTGCCTCTGTTACAGTATATCACAAAATGTTTATCACTGTCTGCCCACCAACCTAACCCCTCTTTCACATATTATTCCTTTAATGGAATGTCCCCATTATTTCCCAAACACTTAGACAAAAGGTGATCAGTCTATGTATGTGCACCATACTGTGAGGGAAATGAAGGTGGACCATATGTAACTCAAGTTCTTGGATTTATCAGTTATTTTTCTAAATTTCTGTCATTTAGCAGTTAACTTGAAACAACACATAACTTCTTAAACGTCGGTCTGTAGGCACTTTTACAGCATTTAAAAATCACAGTTTCTATCGGAGGTCATGATACATTTTTGAAAATCCCAACTCCTTCCTGAAAAAGGTTACAAGGGCCAGAATTTTTGGTTGATTGTTTCTCTGAATGTCCTCAGTGGTTGAGATGGTCTGATAAAGTGAGTCAAATGGGAATGGTCAGCAGACTCCTAGTATGTTGTTAGAGGTGCTTGCTGTTTTTTCTCAGTCACACTGTGGCACCTGCACACACAGTGGCTGGTAAGCTGCTGCACAGTGTGGTTGTGCGCAGTGTGGGCTTGAGGTCTGGTATCCTGCTGGTGGCGAGGGGGTGGTGTTGAACTTGTGGCCTGAGTTAATGTCGCCTCTCTGACTGTGGGAACAGGAAGACATTTGGTCAGACTCTGTCTACTACACAGAGATTTCTGTGCCTCTTATGAGCATCAGAGACAGGAGCCAGTCTGAAATCTTTAACTGTCAGGGCAGATTATACTCGATTCCCCTCTTTCTCTGATGAGTAGGTATTCGGGATTGATATCAGTTACCCTTTCACACTCAGCACTACCTTTGTCTCTTTGAGCAACAGTTTTATTTTTTATTAAGCTAAATCCCTTGAGCAAACAGTTCCGAGGAATGCAGTGGCTTTTACATCAGCAGCAGAATTTAAGATCAAAGTTCAAAGCAAATGTCAAGAGCAAAGCTTTTGTTCTGGTTTGTGTTTCCCTGTTTTTTCTGTTTTATGAGTTTGAAGTTTTAGTTGGGATTGTGCTTTGGAAAAGGAAAGGTTGGAGCAAATTTTGTACAAGAAGAAAACTTAACCGTATCTGAATATCAGTCTGATAATCCATACTAAAACTGGAATAAATAATTATTATTTAGATAGTGCTTTTCACCTGAAAGGATCCCCAAATGCTTTGCATATAGGAGGGAAACCACTTCATTCACTACTGAAAGGGGAACTGCAGTCCCAGCTCCTCGGACAAGTTATTAAATCTTGGTGACAAAATAAATTAATTGACAGCATCACAAAAGTTTACAAATTCCAAATTAAACACAATCGTGAACTTTGTGAAAGTACTGGATCATCGCCATGTTGCTTCAAAGGCCCTGGTCTTGCCACGGGCGAGAACAAGAGTTCATGAGAATTGCAATATGTTGCGCCCTTCCTGCTTCCTAGTCACTGTAATGACTAATGTAATGTGATGTGCAAGTAAGTGCAGGTTGTGCAGCAGATATTTCACTGTAGAAAAGTTTCAACATGATTTGCATGCAGAGTTAACAAATAAGTAGTATTTGTTGGCAAAACTGTCTTGAAGTGGAGAGTAGTGTTTGCATTGGATTAAAAGAGATGTGTAGACAAGCCTGTTTGTTTACGGTGTTATAGGGCCGCATCACCTCACTGGAGGTTTTTTTGCCTCATTCTGAATATCAGGCAGTGATGGCAGTATGGCGCTGTGCAAACCTGGAAATCTTGTCTATTTTGTGATGGAAATTGGAGGTTTTACACGTTTCTGTGTACATTTTACTTTCTTTGTGGATTGAAATGCACTCATCAATGCCGATTCTTTCTAATCCCGAAATATAAAAAGAGCGTTGAAGTTCCCCTTAAAGTGCAGCAGCACCTAACTGGGTGACGCAGGGCTGCATTATTTAGCACTGGGGTAAACATCCATACTCTTACTTGCGAATAACAATCCTCGCAGGAGCTGTAGGTGAGGTAACACTTTGTTCCTCACCGCCCTCCGGTCACTACTCAAGGTTTCCTTTTAAAGATTCCCTGGCTCTTTAATATTGAAAACTTTGTAATTGTACCCTCTAGTGGTGTTATTTTTTATTGCGGCAGAGCTAAACAATAAAATAGTGGTACAGTGCAGAAAGAGCCTTTGGGAAATCTGAACTTCCTATTCATAAGTGCTTCAATATGTCTGAAAAGTGTCTGTTATTTTGTTTTATTTTTAGTAGTGTGAAGTATTAACGTATTGTTCTATTCTTTGGCATATATTTCCAGGCTACATGACTCGAACGGCCTCCTCTTATTTGTGGTAACTGTTCTGATGTGCTTTGTTTCAGGAATGTGGTCTCACACGATGACTGTACAGGACTACCAGGACCTGATCGACAGAGGCTGGAGAAGGTATAGCACTGTGCCCTGCACTGCATCCGTTTTGCTCAGACAGACACCTGGCAGAAGGTGTCAACGTTTTTCCCTTTTCAGTAGGACCTGCTTATAGCATTCCGTGGTTTTATGTGGGCTCAAAGAAAATACCCTGGTGAGATTTAAAATGCACATCAGTTATACATAGTTTCTATTTTTATTATTTTGTAACTGTTATATAGATTGCCTGCTTTTTCCATCCCTAAAATAAAATATGAATGATGTACAGAAGCAATGCTTAAGTGAGGAAAAATCCATTCTTTTTTCACACGTAAACTGTGTCTTATCTGACTTTTTTTACACTTGAGACCACATTCCCGAACATGGAGCATAAACACATTAATACTTCACAGTGCCAATGCATTTCACTCTCCTGCATCTGTCATCTGGGTTCCACACTTACATTGCTTTTTCTCTCCACAGGAGTGGGAAGTATGTTTACAAACCTATAATGAATAAGACCTGCTGTCCTCAGTATACTATAAGGTACTGTTTCTACATACAGTTTACATAAACGTTGTAGACCTAACTTCGTTTTTTAACCGTATCTGAACCTGAGAACCTGAATTATTTGAGTAAAGCCATTATCTCTGTTTTTGTTAAAGGTGCCATGCCCTACATTTTCAGCCCTCCAAAACCCACAAGAAGATCTTGAAGAAAATGAATAAATTCCTGTCCAAAGGTGAAATGCCTTCAAGAGAGTGCGATGGTGAGGGAATGAGCAGTTTAGCTCTGCATATTCAACATACTTTCATTCTTATAAAATTTGAAAGTTATAAATCTACATCTGTATGTAACTGGAGAAATTCATGCTGGATATCGTGTTTATTTTTGTGGTAGGTAGTTTGCCTGTTCATACCAAGAGGCACTCGAATACCAGTTTGATCGTGAGTGAATAGTAAAGCAGCTCCCTTTCGTGTTTCTTTTAGCCAGTCTTTCTGACAGTCGGCACTGGAGATACTATAAAAACTATTTCCAGTACAGCCATTGTGTTTGCATACCAGAAAAACTAGTAAAGTATTGGGGAAAAAAACAATAATTAGTGCATGGATTTAATTATAAAGTCAGTTCTTCTGTGCTCATTTGAGATGAGAGAGAGATCACTTTATTAGCCCTATACAATTTCTTGCATTAGGAATTTATCTTTTTCGCATACCCCAGCTTGCTCTCCATGATACACAGACAAACAGATAGAGAAGCCTGGGGTCAGAGCGCAGGGTCAGCCATTGTGCAGCGCCCCTGGAGCAGTTGGAGTTAAGGGCCTTGCTCTGGGGCCCAACGGAGTAGGATTCCTCTGCCGGCCGCGGGATTTGAACCGGCAGCCTTCCAGCCACAAGCGTAGATCCTTAGCCACAGAGCCAATGCTCCGCCCTTTTTTTTAATATGAGATTTGCTACAATTTTTCCAAATGCAACACTGAATAACGTATTAGAGAGGAGCTGAGAGGGACTTGATGTGGTAAAATGTCATGTTGCTGCTCTTCAGGTGAGCCAATGGAATCACTCTGTGATGAGGAGGGGTCCCGAGAGACCCCAGTGGACTGCCTGGGAGAGGTCAGCGCGTCTGTCCAGGAACCGCTGGTGGTTGACCAAGAGACGCCATCACCGGAGGGCACCTCAAAAGTGTCCAAGTCTGAGCCGCTGCAAACAGGTGGCTCCGGCGAGCGGCCTCGGGAGAGGACAGAGCAGCCGGCCCCAGTGCCGGCACCCAGCTCCACCAGAGCAGGCCCCAAGCCAGGTGACACCTGCTAACGTCGGTTACTATCACTGAGCCCGAGTGACTGATTTAATGGTGTCAGAAGTTGATGGTACAGCATCAAAAACCTGTGGAGAAGAAGTGTCCAACCCTGGTCTTGGAGATTCACTGTCCACCATCTTATAGGTCACCCTTAAATAATCAGTTTGTAAAGATGCAGGACAAGTGAGGATTGATCAGTTTAGAAAGTTAATTTGTTGACTTAAGTCAGAAATGGTCAACCATGGTCATTGAGAGCTACTAAATTTTCAGTCACTTAACTGACCAGATCACCAGATTCTGTGGTCAAGAGTTGATCCAAGTGTTAAGGGATTGATTATTTAAGGGTGAGCCATAAAACATGCTGAATTGTTTCTCTCCTGTACCAGGGTTGGCTATCCCTGCTGTGCAAAGCTGTCTTACACCATTCTGAGGATGCAGATGAAGTTTACAAACCACAATTTAAATTTAAATGTAAAATATCAACTTGTATATATGCCGATTACTGGTGTGGTTCAGCCAGAATAGAGTTATTATTTTCCATCCATCCATTGTCTAACTGCTTCATCCAGTTGGGGGTCCAACTTTTTAACTGCGTATTAAGTGGATCAGATAGAAATACAGGCTGATTAAGCCTGATACTTGAATGTATCCCCTGGCTTTGAAGGGCCAGAGCTGGCCACCTGAGCTCTGAAGCCTTAAAAAGGCTGGCTGGCTTCAGGAACCCCTTGTAGCCACGTTCCATTGCAGATCCCAGGGAAGACAGCAGGTGTCAGCAGAGGGCTACTGTGTTCTGCCTGCAGAGAGGGCTGTTGATGCTGAGAGGGCATCAGTGTCTCCAGTTGTTGATGTAGTCAGGGAGTTGGGGGGAAAGGGCACTCTGCCTCTCCCCCTCATCACTGACAGTGTACTGTCTGTACACAGATACTGGGACACTGTTACATACACAAATAGCAACTCCCTGAAACACAGGAAGTAATTGAAACACTGTGGAAACTAAGTGCGTCAGTGTTTGACAGAGCTGGCTTAACACTGTAGATCAGATAGGCATTTAGGAGTTTCTTTTTCGACCTTTCCTTTTTCTCTCGGATCCAGGGACGTAATTTCGACGTATAGTAAAGCAAAGCTGGGTGTGAAGACGTTTTCTTATTTTCTGGCAAGTCAGCTTTCAGTAGAGATTTAGAGTAAGTTAGAAGTGCCCCCTTAGTTGATCTTTTTCTTCATGTACCTATTTGTATTGTTTGTTTGTCCTTCTTCTTACAGTATGAAAGAAATCCTAAAAAAGGTTCTTAACAGACTTCTTGGATGTCTGCATCCACTGCTAGATAAATCATCTTTAAATCCTTAACTATCTAAAACCAATAGGACAGAGGTAACAGAAGGCTTTTCTGAGCCATGGACATTGATTAGAAAAAGAGGCCCATATAGCACTGACCTCAAGATACTGTAAATCTGTTGAAGTTTGTGGGAATAAGTCATCTCCTAATGTGTGAAGAAACAGAAAGTATCAGTGCAGTTTCTGAAAGAAAACAAGAAAACCTAATTTAACACGGTCTTCAACTGTTGTATCTTATCTGATGAAACACCTGGAGTTGTTTTTAAATAAGGGCTTGTTTCAACTTTAAACCAATCTGTCTCAATGAGGAATTCCCTGAGAGAGTATAGCAAACCAGAACTTTTGTGCTGGAGCATTGAGAACTGTGTATTATCTTAAATATGAGGGTGAATACTTGTAGTCCTTAACGTGCAATTAACAGATCCAAACTATACCTGCTGTTTCCTGGAGGTAATTGAGAAAGACAGAAAAAAAGAAGGTTGAAGCCAGAGGCAGAAATCTTTTTTTTTGTGGAGAGATTAGTATTTCACTTGTGCAATTTCCTGCAGTTCAAGGATGTTTTCAACAGAACTGAAGCACACACAGCTACTCGGACGGCTTCTTTCCTAGTATGTGTCGAGATCATAATGCAGAATTTATTGAAGAGGCTTTTGATTGCCAGAATGCATGCTTCCCCTTCTCGACAATGCCTGCAGGGGTTTCTGTCTCTGTGGACAAGTATAACAATCTTGAACCTTTGTGGTTTTGGTTTACCATTTTAATGCATGACATTATTTCTTTAAGATGAGAAACAACTGACAAATTGCTATCTTAGGACCTTCTTTAGTTACTTTCAATTTATTGGTTCTTGAAGATAAAAGGTTTTGTATTTTGGATCACAGTTAGATAGGTGACCCATGTAATGGATATGTTTTTCACTGTTTCCATGCCCTTTTGAAAGGGCATCCTTAGCTGCATCCCTGTCTTTACTTTCTCACTAGTGGAAAGTGCTCTCTGGGAGACAGTATGTTCAGAAGATTTTGTCCCAAAGCAGAGAGTTACAGTATGTCTGATCTTGCACAGACATGCTGAAATATATGTCTGTCTGCACAGTAAAAAGGTGTGCAGAAAGTGTTTAGCCTGGAAGCTATAGTAATGCAGACCAGTGTCTTTGATTTATGCCTTTGGAAAAACTTTTAAAGTGAAGGATCGTAACACAATGTTGGCAGCCTCCTAGGAGATGCAGTCCCTCTTTCCACTTTGCGAGCCCTTTGGTGGTGCAATGTGGTTTGACTCCTCAGTCTGGCTCCTGCCATGGTTGTGTATTGTTTGTTTAATGATTCCAGGAGTAACATTGAAATAGAAAGGTGGCATTCCTCTCCTGAGTGTAATTAAACACTGGGTTTCCAGTGATTTCCATTGCAGTGCTGCTGTCTCAGAACTTTGCAAGGTAGTCACAAAGGAAATCAAAACTTGCTAGCATTTCTTACCATTATTTGTTTAATTTTCAGTGCTTGTGTTCTGCCCTTTTTGTATGCAGTTTAGAGTTTTACAAAGAGATGGATGTTTCTGTCCACTGACAGCGTTTGTGTATCACAGGTGCAAATTCATTTCCCTGGAAGACTTTGATTCTCTGACTTCAGGACAGAGATGTCCTTTTCTGATGGGATGAGAAGTTATTGTCTACCGTAAGACAACCCACACAAAGGGTTAACACTCTATGAACAGTGCATACATTTTGTGGACAAAGACAGAGCAAGTTCTGACAGATTGTGTTATAAAACTGATGTGACAATATGTAATACATTGTTTCAGTGGAAGCAATGTGGTTCTTGTATAAACAAGTGCATTAGAGAGCAATAAAGTTGTGCAAATGTTAACAAGATTACTGTTCTTTAAGCACAGGATGAGCTTATGCCTGAATGAAGTCATTTTTAAGTATCGCATGCGAACATTAAAAACAGTGAAAAAGAAAAAAAATCTTTTTTGTTGTGTGTTTTTTCAGCATAAACATAAGAGCCATTTTAAGCTGTGTCATCAAAAATAGGTTTTAAGAGGGAAAAGAGAACGAAAGATTAAACAATCCAACATTAAAGAGACTAGTTATTTTTCGGAAGTTGTTTTGTAGTGGTGATTTGAGAGATGTTTGTTATTGTACTGAGAAGTCCACTTTCCCAGCCATGGTTTTGTTGCTCAATGCAGTGAGATTCCTGACTAATGAGTCCTGGTTACCTGTTTAGAATGTTTCACAATGCAGAGACCCAGACTGCCCCCTGATCCACACTGACAGGCATAGTGCTTTCTGTGAGGCTATGAATACACACTGAAGTTGAGCTTGCATGTGAGGTGCTTACAAAGTCACAGTTTTAATGATGATAGCTGTGTGCAAAGCAGTTTCAGAAAACTTTTCTGATGTGACTCAGCCTGTATATCTGGGCAGCATTTTGTCCATCCAATCTGTTCTTTCAGATTTTTTTTTAATGCCTAGAACCTTGTTTCTTTCATTGATAAATAAGATCATGAAATGCTGGATGTACTAATATACTGGAGTGGATTGTAAGAAGGGTATGTTGAGTAGCAGTGCTGTTAATTACAACACAATGATGCCCATGCATTTCTGACTGCTCTCTCTGTGAATGTGGTTGAACTTTGAGATATATGGAGTTTTCTACAGATGTAGGCTGCTGGAATCTTGGAGGAAACCGTGTCACTCTGCACTATTGGCATCTGTAGATCTCTATGTTATGTATTTGACATATTTATATCTTATTTACATCTCAGTCTGATCTCACTGCACAAATGGATCTTCCCCAAGCTCTCTGTACCTCTCTGCTGGTTGCTGTTGCTCTCCATCCAGCTGTACAGTCCAAGCACTCAGGTCACACATAATAGCCTGTTAGTGGTGCTGTCAGGAAGAAATGCAGGAAATAGCAGCCTTTTCCTTATTGCACCAAACAGGATGTAACCGTGTAAACTATTGACATTGGATGCCAGCACTTTGGGCCTGGAATGGGGCCAGCTCTGTGAAAGGGAGGAAATGTCTTTCTATATCTGGACTAAGGAATGTTAACTATAGTGTTCTGGCTATGCAAGCTGCCTTTTCTAGGCCAATATGCTGCAGGGATGCAGGCAGGAGCTGGACATTGATGGGCTTGCCCTGCTCTCTGGCTACAAAACACAGGCAATCCCAAAATGAATCTGGGAAATCTAAACTGGTTATTCATTCAGTATGTGTAGCCAGAACTGTTGAATATTCCTAAAGGCTGTAGAATTTGCTTTCTAATTGTTGATCATGAATTACAGCATTCTGTCAACACAACTAAAATAGTTTTGTAGAAATGGTTACGTTCTTCAACTGTGCTTCTATCCATTGCCTTTGACATCTCTGCATTTTGTGTAGGTATTCATGTCACATGAAACCTAAAGCATGTGGTGTGTTTTATGATAAAGTGTTGTTGTAAACAGCAGTTTTGGTTCGGGTTAAAGTACCTGAATTAATAGTAGTCTGTTATTGTGATGCAGATTTTGGTTCCTTATGATTTCATGATCATTTATGATATTATGTAGTGTATGTTAGGCATTATTATGTTTTGTCGTTGCCATTACAGAACTTTGGGGAAAAAATGTATTTGCTATTTGTAACCATAAGAATGTTCCTGGTCCAAATTATGGACTGGTGGTTGGAAAATATTATATTTTAGTGGTGTTCTGTAGCAGCCCCTGTCAGAGATGGTTAAATGCCAGAATCTCTCAGGGAGCAACCCTCTTTGGACAGACTTGTACAGGCTCCCCATCACTAGATTTGTTCAGATCAGTGTACAGATTGGTTCCTTTTTCTCTGGAAAAGCATTTGTTTTTGTTTCTAAGAATATGTGCTTGTGGTGGAAAGAAGAGCTTCCTTTTTTTAATACTTTGCTGTGGAGATGTTTCCACTGTGGTTGATGTACAGAAAGCAGATATGTGGGTATAGGATTATATACCAAGGTCCTTTTGATCCACGTTTTAAACCATATCCGCATGCAATTAAAGAGGCAGTTGAAACATAAGCTCGAAACACATCCTCTATGTTTGACTGTAAAATGATTTATTTAGAACGGCACAGCTGTACATTGTCAAATACCTAAAGTATATGCTGAGTTTTGGAATATATTTACATTGTGCAAGTCCAGGGCTTGCAGTGCAAGACTGTTGGCCTTTGTAAGTGAGTGCTCTTGTTGATGAGAGCAGGCAGTCAGTAACAGACAGATCCTGTGTCTTCAGCAGGGGGCTGCTCACCACAACCCCTTCTGTTGGGTTTGTTTGGAAGACGAGGTCATTAGCACACAATGGAATTTTTCAAAAGCACTGTAGAACCTTAATTTCTTTAAACAGGACTCTGTAGACAGAATTGAGAAGTGACTCATCCTTTCAAAATATTGGAAAACAAATGCCATTACATTCTGTTCTCCAAACAACCCAAGAGCCAAGGGTATTTAGCTCTCCTTACAGACTCCAGTCCAGTGGAGAGCAAGAATTATAGTGGTACATTAAATAAACCAGTCCTTCAGACGGTGACCTCCTATTGCTCTTTATTGAAATAGTTTGTGTTCCTTATTGTTGTTCTTTCCTTGGATACTTGTTATAATAAATATGACATACTCTTGTATTTTAAACTCCCGAAAAAGACATGCAGGGCGATCTGTGCACCAGATAAAAAATGCTTACAGTTTTAACAAAAGGGAGTGTAAAAGTGGAAAATCTAGTCCGTGGCAAGATGGGAAAAGAGAAATGTTTTTTTTTTTCTCTTAAAATGAGGTATGGAATATTCACTGAAGTTTATTTGGAGTTGGGGGAAGCAGAGTGAATTATACACTTGTGCAGTATTCATACCACTGGACAAGTAGCGTTATTTGGGCGTCGCTGCCATAATTAACCAGCTTGTGCTGCTCATCTCTCTCAGGGCTGGGAGTGGACCCCAACAGGCCTCCCTGCCGCAAGGCGAAGGAGCTGCGCAGGGAGCGGAGGCTGCAGAAGGAGCTGCAGAGACAGCAGGGGGGGTGTCCTGTGGACCACGGTCAGCATCTGCCACAGTCCCGGCAAAACAGTCAGCCCCGCACCCTGGAGGAACTCGTCACTGACTCCTTGCCCACAGATGCCACTCATCAGGTGGAGGTAAACCTGCCAGTCTCTCTCCGGGTCAGTTGGCTCACAAACACACATCCCATGTTGCTCCCTGTATTCTACAGTAGGTCTTGCCCAGACATGGAGCAACCCTGGGAAGACATTTTGAAGATCAGTTTCAAAGTCATGGTGAAATAATCTCGAGCACACGTTTGAAATGTCATACATAACAAAAATATGTTTATCCTCTTCAGGAAATGATTGTTAGCTCTTGTTTAAAAAGAAGCACGAAAATGTGGCTTGGTCATGTCCCTGCAGTGTGCACAGATGGTCTGCAGAGGGTAGTGTGGGCACAGAGACAACCTCAGTATGAGAGCAACATTATAGGTATAGCTCCCCACAATGCAGATGAATGTTTTACCATTTCAAAGGAATATACATTTCTTCCGGTTTCCATTATTAAATTATGACTTGTTTTCTGCACAGTTTAAATCGGGGGAAAAATCTGGTTTAGAGTAAAAACAATCCAGCAAATACAGCATTCATAACATGCAGCCCACATTAACTGTGAAATCAGTGTATTTAGATAAAACTAGATCTATTGTTTTCTCTTGTTTTTGGAATCAAGCAAAAGGCCTGTATTGGCCCTTTAACTTTGCAAATGTATTTTCTTGAAACTGGCTTCACTTTGAAGCATTAATTGCATTTAACTAGTTACAACTTCATAGACTGAATAATAAACACTGCATTAACATTAATAGGAAGAAAGAACAAAACTTTTGTTTTGCACATATAAAAAAGAAATATGAATGTAATATGAATACACAGCTTTATTCAACAGATAAAATAAGTTATAAGTAGTAAAGTAATAATTAATAGTTTCTTGACTTAATTTATACTTTAATAATATTAACATCACAATGTTCATTTGTAGTGGTGAATCTCTTCCAAGTACAGTAGGCGAACTTGATCAGAAATTCCAGCTTTGAAATTAAGCCCCAGAATCTGGGCAGTGGGATCCTGGAAACATATTTATATCTAAAATTGCCTGGAATTTCCCATTTGCTGTCACCCAGGCCAAATTCTGTGACGGAAGATTGCTCCTACTCCCATTCCCAAGAAAATATTTATTTTATCTGTTGCCCATCAATACTGCTGGAATTGCTCAAACCAAGCTGGGCCTCTACTTTTCTTGTTTTTTAAAACCACATCTTGGTGTTAATTGATCATCTTTAAAATTGACCTGAAACTTGTATCCAATGTTGCCATGAGAGATTCGAGAGGGGCCCAGTGGCAGTGGAAATCTGAAGCTCAGTCAAAAGTTTGCACCTTTTTTTTTTTTGAATGGATAAGTGTTTTCACATTGCATAGCGCTGACGGTAACAACCAGGTCTTTGTGTTAACTTCCCCTGAAGGTGAGGCTAGTGCGGTCCAACCCTCCCAGCTCCCAGTTCAAATCCACTTTCCAAGAGTCTTACCAAGTCTATAAACGCTACCAGATGGCCATCCACAAGGACCCACCTGACAAGCCATCTGAAAGCCAGGTCAGCCTGCTGTTATCGTAGCGGAGTGGGGGGGGAGGTGGAGTGATTAGGGCAGGGCTGACAGAGGAGGGGAGGGCTTGCAGTCCCTTCCCACTGTCTAATGACAAGCAGGTGAGTAATGCTATCTACTCCACCTCACTCCTGCTCTGGCCCTCCCTGCTTCTGAGGTTTATGAGGAAGATGGGGGAGCTCATTTACAGACAGACTAGAGTGGAGAGAGAGTGAGTGGTTTAATTAAAGCCAATAAAGCAGACATTCTGCAGGTGCAAAGCAGACTGGAATGACTTACAGCAGGTGCCACAGTCTGGCACATGATTTTCAGAGGTGGGTTTTCCTTTTCCACCCTGCACACGCCCCAGAGGGGGCCTGCATTGGTGCCATTTCCGCTAAAAGGTCTGTGTACTGTTAGCTCATTTCTAATGCACTCTCCTGCAGAACAGTGCATTCATCCCCATTCCGTTGTACGGAGGAGTGATCTCGCTCCTTGAGCCTGAACTCCAGGTAAATTCTCTGAGTCATGTACTAGAAAATTTTACTTAAATGCAGCAGATCTGGCCACATTGACATGACTGTGGAAAAGAATAGGTAATCACTTGCCAAATCTAAAAAGAATAACAGTCTACATAGTGCTGTAGGGTTGTTTGCTTTAGCATCGTCTCTACACTTGTGCTTGGCACTCATCCTGAAATGAGTAATAGCTTAAATCCCATATTTCATTATTTACTTGAAGTAACTGAATGAATGAAGTAACTTCGTTAATTGGAAAAGGCCTGTTTCATTGTGAGAACCAGGAATGCTCACCTGAGTCACCTGGGATGAAAGACAAAAACTCTTGTAGACTGGAAATCTGAGGACATTAAATCGAGGAATCTGTGCGCACGGTCGAAACTGTTCTGTGGTGCTCCAACTGTAGAAAGTGCATAGGTGTGTGGGGTGGAGAGACCTGCTGTAACTCAGTCCCTGTTAGGGCTCTGTCCTGGAGAGGGCGAGGGAGACCGAGCACTGGCTTCACCTCAGTGTGTAGCAGTTGGTTTGTGTGGATTGTTGTCTAAACCTCTTCAATATTGTTGACTCCCCCGCTGTCCTGAAGGTGAAGCTAGTGCCGGTCTGCTTTGATGACCCCGAGTTCACTGCGTCCTACAGCCAGTCTGCGGCCTTGTACGCCAGGTATCAGATGGCAGTGCACAAGGACGCACCCTCTGAATGTTCTGAGTCTGAGGTACAGTTCATTGCATGCATCATTAATCATCATTGCTTTTCTTACAAATAGCTTCAGAGCTTCTATTATTAATTTTAATTGTTTTTCTTCAGTTGATCTTTGTCATGTGTTCAAGGGATTCTCCATGTGCACGGAGTATTTGGCACAGCCTGCTCACCTCCACACTCACCTGTGGTCTATCCCACATAGTGAAAAACTGACAGTTGAAATGCTGCACCTTCTTATCAACCCCAGTGCATGATTCTGCAAGTGAAAGATGCTTAGCCTTGTTCTTGAAATAACATTGAGCTAATGAAGAAATCAAAGGACTAGTTAAGTCTGAAACCCTGCTGTGGAATAGATAGGTGTGGTGTTTAACTCCCCCTGTTTATAAAGTGACTAAATCAGAGCTGACATTACTGTGTTAGCTCCCCTCCCAGATTCTAAGCTGAAGATTCCCCTCACAGCTGCAGTATGCACAATAGTGATTAGGGCTAAAATCTGTAGATGTCCTGTGCCTGCCTCCAGTAAGCAAGTGAAATGCAGTCCAATTGTGCAAAGTGCACTATTGGAATTCAGTCTCCTGTTTACCAAAAGTCCAGAGTCTGTTCCTCTTTACCTGTGAGTAAATAACAAAGACTGGGTGACTTGAGAGACTTGGCAGGAGCTTTTACTTTTTGTTTCTGGTTGTGTGATCTCCAAACCCTTTAACTCTTTTCATAAGCTATGAAAACAATTAAAATACAGAGCCACAGACTCACGTGTACTCTGAAATTGTGAACCTGTCAAGTATTACGACAGTATGACAGTACCCTAGGGTGTCAACAGCGATGTAACAAGTTGTGGGTATGTTTGCGTGTGCTCTTACTTTGGTGAATTGGATTGAATTTTTTGGCTTTATACCCAATTAATTTGGAATTGTCAATGGTAAATGACTATCCCAAATAGCTGCAACTGCTATACCACTCAAGAGAGAATGAGAGATGTGATGTGTTCCATCATTATGCCCACCTGCAGAGCGACTTGTCCTTGACCATTCTTGAAGCACTATCTCACAGGAGACCAGTTCCATTCCTGCCCTGCTGGCATGTTCCATTGTGAGAACATATGAATGCTTACAAATAAGAGGAGGCTGTTCAGCCCGTCTAGCCCATTTAGTAGTTAGTAGCTAATTCATGTGAGGTTCTCATCCAGCTATTTCTTGAAAGGAGCCAGGGTATCATCTTCAGCAGCAAGGCAGGGTAGCTTGTTCTATATTCCCACAACCCTTTTGGCTAAAGAAGTGCCTCCTGTTCTTAGTTTTGAATGTGCTCCTGCATAGTTTCTACTTGTGTTCTCTGGTTTGTGTCTCAGTGCTAATTATGAAGTATACCACAGGGGTGATGTGTTAATGCCTTTTAGGATTATGAATACCTGAATTATGTCCCCATCATAGTCTTTTTATTTAGGCTAAAAGAACTGAATGTTTTAAGTCTTATCCATGTAGGTCATTTTTTTGTAACAGTGATTAGACAGCGTCCTAATTAAGGTCTTAATACTGCTATGTTTGTTATCATGTTATGATGGCATATTGACCGTGGTGTTATCTGTGTGGAGTTTGTATGTTCTCCCCTCACATGGGTTTCCTTTGCTACAAACAAATGTTGTGTGTGCCCTGTGAAGGGTACTACATTGTACAATTACAATATAACACAAGCTTTATTTGGATTATGCACTTTTAACTATATAGACTAACTGTCTGTTTACCTTTTTTATTGCTTCCCCACATTGCCTGAAAGATGAAAATGATGTGTCTGCATAAACATCCAAGTCTTTTTTATAAGTAGCCTCTTCAAGCTCAGCATTTCCTATTATATATTTAAAATTTATATTTTTTTCTGCTTGCAACATCCTCTAGTTGTCTATGTTAACTATCATCTCCAGATCTTGGCTCTGTTCTGAATTTATTCTAAATCTTTTTCTATTTTTTTTTTACGCTTATACAGTGTTTACTGCGCCTGCTAAAATAAAGATCTTCGATGTAAGTTAGGATGACCGGTGGTCCTAATACAGATCTAAGAGGTACCCCCACTAATTATATCACCCCAACTGGAGCATTTACCCTTGACTGTAACCTGTTTTTTGTCAGTTATCCAGTGTTCTTTGTATATCTATTAGTTTAAAACCTACCACCTGAATCTTTTCTGCAAAACAAATCTCGAGGGACCAATGGTTGTCTTAAGTGCTTCTAGTGCCTACAAACTGCTTCTTCTGTGCAAAAATGATTGAATATGAAACTTTCTTTCCACAGCCTGTGGCATGCTGTTAGTTCCCTCTTTGGTAAATATCCGAGTGAAATATAAGTACGTTGACCTTGCTGTGATGTTGAAGTTTTCTGACACACCTTCAGTTTTTGCTGTTCTTTAGCTATTATAACTCTAAAAAATATAGTTTTCATCACGATATTCCTACCCCATCTCACACTCTTGGCCTTTGTAGTATCCTTTTTCACCTTTGCTTGCATTTCATTATACTTTTTATACCTTTTAAATGTATTTTTTTTGCTGAAGGCTTATATAGTGCTTTCTTTCTTTTTATATTCTTCTTGATTTATTTAGCATTTTGGACCACTGCTTGCCTGAATTATTTGTGGCATAATTCTGTTCTGTGCTTCAAAACGTATAGCCTTAAGCTGCTGCCACCCATATTTTACTGATTCCATATCTATCATAGTCTGCTCTTCTAAAACATGGAAACTTTGTTATGGACTTCACCTGTAAGGTTTTTAAAGTATTTTTCATTACTGTCATATTCTAAGGATCAAAGTTCCCCAGAGGTTCTCTGCACTGTTTCCCCATTCTATTGGTAGTATAAAAAGACAAAACAGCAGAGGTATGTGGTGAAAAAATGTGTTATCTGCCACTGTTTGAGGAATCTCACTCCTGGTTAGCTAGTGATGTGGCCAAACCTTGAACTGGAGACATCGAGTCATCTGTTTTGAGCAGGTGTAAAATCTGTGTCAAGGCTTTTTACTTTAGCGTGGTAAGACACTGTCCAATGGAGGTGCCCTAGTTTGATGAAATGTCAGAAGGCTGGGAATCACAGGAGGGCACTGTGTAGTCTCAGCCTTGCCTCTGCCAGTGACCAGTCATAGGGCAGCAGGGTCACCTCAGAGGTCAGGACTAGGCTCTCTTGCTGAGAACTAGTGACAGTGGGGGAAGGGTTTTCTTGGTGTGATAGTTTCAGAGTACCCATATCTGTTTACCTCTCTGTGAGTTTTATTGCTTGGAGTTTAGGGGGTGAAGGAATGCAGAGGTCTCTACCTTGACCCTGTGTTTTTGCTCAAAGCAATACTTAACAAAACAGTGCTTTGAGTTTCCTGAAAAGCACTCATAAATGAAATTGTATTATTATTGTAATATGAAATTGAATTGTTATATTTTTAAATTATAGAACCATTAATGTTTTTGTAAAGGAAATGTTCCTTAAACAGCCAGCCAGGACATACTTTATAATGTTGTACGTATTTTGAGTATGAGTACTGTATATGTTTGACTGCATCTGACTGATAACTGGGGAGGGCTCTTGCAAGTTTGCCATCAGTTTGTCTTTACAGCTCGTGAACGTCTGAAGCCAGCAAAGAGTTTGCTGATGAGACTTGCTATGTGCCTCTACTACAGGCAGACTAATCAGACCAGTAACTCTGCCAAACCCGATTACCAGACATTTGTTGCTTATTAATCATCTTGGAGAATAATGGGGAGTTTATGGGGGTAAAGTTTACTGGATTTTATGGTTCCAGAGTGAAAAGTAAAAGCACGTTGTAACTCTTGTTTGTTTCTTTTAAGGGTAGAAACGGTTTTGTTTTTGTATATTGCGAACAGACTTGCTTTCCGTTTAAAAAAGCTGTCCTTTTTCACAAGCCAACTGAGCAGGGGCTCAGATATCAGGATTTCAAACTAATTTCTTTCTCCCAGTAAGGGGCCGAAGGCTGCTTGTGGACAGAATGGCACCAGGACTTTGTGTGAGCGAGAGACCGCAGACAGGCTGAATGCCTTTGCCCGTCTCTTCTTACCTTAAGAACAATTTTATTTCTTTTCTTAATAGTAGGGATCGTGGTTTAACAGAATTACATTCAAGAGTGGCCATAATTAGGGTCTGTTCATTTTTAAATGTGGGTCTGTGCCTTATGTGAGGCAGCCCATTTTTCTCTTGTCCTTTTTCCAGAATGAAGCTTGGTAACTACCCAGGCAGTTTGTACTCTACTGATGCAGTTCCAGCTCTGGAAACTGACGAGCTCTCTTCTTGCGTTTGTTGGTGTCCTAAGCACCCATCTTGGTGTGCTTCCTAGACTGACGTCTGCCAGTTATTTCAATTCTACAGCAAAAGTGATACCTTTGCCTGCATTATAAGGACTTAAATAATCATAAGGTTATGTGATTTAAATACATTGTTGGAGAGACAAGTATATTTCTCAATCTCTGTAATTTATAGACAACTTTTATAGACAACTGTTCATCTGCTGTTCATGTCAGAATACATTTTCTGTGGGATTTTTCTGTGCTATTTTTGTTTTCACACCCTGTTACTTAAAAAAAATACATATATTTGTTGATTTCTTATTTCAGTGAGAATTTAAATGTTACTGCATTTGTTTCTCTCCTGTACTCAAGTGGTAAGATTTAATGTCTCATTGGAGCAGGAGAAAAACTTTAGCAAAACTGCAGCTCCTGACTGTTCCCAGTAAATGTGTAATCCTTTGTCCTCAGGTCTGGAAACTTTCAGTGACTGCCAATGGGGTTTAGCTAAATAAATTCTCCTAGTTGTAAAATTACAGTCGCAGTAGTCACAGATTCTTTCCTGGTGCCATAAGGGGCTATTATTAGAATGTTTGCTTGCTGTTTTTATTTCCATGTTGTGCCCCCAGCTAGGCTAATTGCTGCCAGGTCATGGAGATGAGCTGATGTTGGTAAGGCACGGTGATGACTGTGTTCTAAGCATACACAACTACTGCTCAGTTATAGCAATAAAAAGGCACATAT